ATCAGAAAACGTATTTGGTGATCAGTAATGTTCCCGAGATCACAAACCTAGCAAGTGGGAAAGCCAGGAATTGAACCCAGGTTTCTGGGAGTCTAAAGCCTATCTCTTTTCTCTTTATCACCCACCTATGGCTCATCTTCATTCAAGGAAAAGTTTATCCAATTAAAGCTGTCTTTCTTCCCTCTGCCCATATCAATTAAAAATAAAAATACCAAAATATACTAAAAATGAAAATGGAAAATAGCTGATGAATCCACAGTGTCTGGTAATAGTGATTCATAGTCACTTAAGGATAACCTAACATCAATATGCTTCAAAGAAAGCAACTTAAAGCAAAGACTCATTGAGTAATCCAAAAGACAAAATCAATCTCAGCTCCTATTTATGTGAAATATGGCATTTTTAAAGGAAAACTATATAAGAAGCAGAGGTTAGACAAATACTATAAAAGGGTGAAGAAGTTCATACTGAGTCATAAAGCAATTTAAAAGTTAAAGTTCACACTTCATAAAACAATTAAAACTAATATAAAACCCCTTTAGCTAATATAATATCATATGATCACAAAAAGATAATGTGAAGAAAAACATCAAATTACAAACATCAGTCAATATTATAAAAGATGAATCCTCCTGTATACTGTTCTTTACATTGTCCAGTCCAAATCATTGATTTTATACCTAACTGAAGATTTCTCTTGATATTTTTCATTGTACCCCAATAATTATAAGCTAATCTTATTCACTTAATATTTCTGACGTGAGTGACTGTTACCACTCTAGGAAAAAACCTAATTACTGTACCTTTCCAGGCTATCCACTACATTCACATTGGCTCTTTCTTTTATTAAAAATTCCGCCACTTCCACTTTCCTTTCTCTCAGAGCGAGCAAAAGTGGTGTGCGTTGCTCCTGTAATACAGCAAAAACAATTAGTAATTGACAAAATTCAATATTTCTCAACTGAAGCAAAAACCTTATATAAGATCCTGAGAATGTGCATATGATACAGACAGTGAATAAAAGCAGCCCCTTCCTTCTCGCCCTCTGTGCTTTCCCACGCGCTGCTCCTTCCCTCGGAAACGCGCCTCCTCTGCCTGACCACGTTCACTCCGGTCATCTCCACAGCTCACTTCAGACCTTTACGCTCCCAAGAATCTTTGCTTCTGTCACAGCATCGATCATGGTACAGTGTAACGATTGTACTGTTTCTCATCTTAAAAGAGCTTCTTGTGGGCAGGGGCAGGATCTATTATCTCTACATCTCCAGACCCTAAGCTATAGTAGTAAACATTTGCAGTGTTTTTATTGAGTTAATGATCTAAATTATCGCCTCTAGAGCAGTGTTTCCTAAACTATATTGCAAAGAATATTTGCCTTACAAGAAGTAATGTACCCCAACAGAAAGTTTACATGATCATCTATTTGTGAGAAATATTACAAAATTGTGCGCTCTATGTCAGTATGAAAGTAATCTTTTGAATTTGCCTAATCCCTCTTTGACAACACATTTTTTCTGTGTGTGTGGCAAACATTAACATTTGAGAAATTAGAGATTCAGAGATACAGGTTCGAAGCTTTTCAGCAAAGGTGGAGGATTTTTCCAGGTGATGCCAACTCACTTGACTCTCTTCTGTCGATGGTGACAAGATCCCAGATGCCAATGTCTGCCACTCCTGCTCAAGTGGATCATTAAGGAAATGGGCTCTGAATTAAAAGAGATAGGCTTCAAAGGAACTTTGATTGCTTATTATTAAATGGTCCCTGGGATTTCTCCTATGACAAGATCACAGATTTTTATCTCAGCTGTTAAAAAAACTCAGTATGAAATTTTATTCTCAATGATAATGGTAATCCTGGGACCCTAATGCATATCTACCTTTTTAATCCATTTTTATTCTGGTTTCCCTTTAAATTGTAACTTAAAACTATTTTTATTTTAGGCAAAATATGAATCAGAAATAGAAATATAATGGTTTCTTAATAAGAGTTCTACTACTGACCTACATGAATTATTTCTAGCATAAGTAAAGGCACTAAATCACTTGCATTTTTAAGAGATGATGCTGAGAAGAAACATGTAACGTCATCTGCAAGGTGCATAACCAATCCGACCATAACCACGATTAACCTAAAAAGGCTTAGAGGCATTCTAATAGGAAGATGATTATTTATGGTATATATTAAGAAAAAAGAATTTTTAAAAAGTCACCTTCTGAATTCTAAGATTCAACCCCATTATGAAGGGATTAATATAAAATACAGGCTATATATTGTAAATAAAGATAAACTGTCTGGAAAACCTTGAAACCTTCACCAACATATATGTAAAACAGGAGTCATAAACTCAAATACTTACAGAGGCAACGTAGGTGACCAGAGCAAGTACAGGACCTAGGTGGGCACAGTACCGAACTGGACAATCTATGCTTCCTATGAAGGGGCAACCTCTGCACAGCATACCAAACAGCAAGATGGGCTCAAGGGACACCTAGACATTTCTCAAGAGACACCTGACACCAGATTTGATTCTCCAAGAGAAGCCTGAAATCCAGATTTCTGCATGTCTCCTAAATTTTAAACGTTGACTCAATTTATCCAAGCATACTAAACCTCACTTAGAATACACATCCTGTGCTTTTATATTTGCTATATGTGTGTTTCCAAATGGTTGTGAATAAAGCAAGTATTTTCATGTAAAAGTCTTTCCTTTCTTTCATATCATATGTTTTAACAAAATAATCAGGCCCCGACATGGAATAAAAATTGCTACTAAGACTTACGATATCCACTTCAAAAGTTTTTCCAACATTTATTCAATTACAGGCTATTTACATTGAATTCTCCCAGGTTGTTAACCAAATGGATAATGAGTTCATAGGAACTGCTTAAATTGAATTATTAAAAGAATGCCTATTTGTATTCTTACTAACTTCATGGGTTTCTGTGTTTAAAACTGCCATCCTGGCCGGCCGCGGTGGCTCACGCCTGTAATCCTGGCACTCTGGGAGGCCGAGGCGGGTGGATTGCTCAAGGTCAGGAGTTCAAGACCAGCCTGAACAAGACCGAGACCCCGTCTCTACTAAAAAATAGAAAGAAATGATCTGGATAACTAAAAATATATAGAAAAAATTAGCCGGGCATGGTGGCGCATGCCTGTAGTCCCAGCTACTCGGGAGGCTGAGGCAGAAGGATCGCTTAAGCCCAGGAGTTTGAGGTTGCTGTGAGCTACGCTGATGCCACGGCACTCACTCTAGCCCGGGCAACAGAGCCAGACTCTGTCTCAAAAAAGAAAAAAAAAAACTGCCATCCTGACTATGCTGAAGCTCTATGCTCTTAACAGACATGCTGAGATCGTTCATAATACAGCTTCAACTGAAAAAAACAGTTTAGGACTTGCTACTATTCTAATTGAGAAAATCCCACTTGTAGTAAACATGTGTTGACCTAATCACCTGAATGATAGCGAAGAGACAGGAACTTCTGAAAGGGTCAGCCTCTATGCACGCAAAGACTATCCGTAAGTAAATTTCTTATTTAAAAGACCCTCTCAATGGCAGTAAATGGTTGAAAGGGAAAAGATGTTATTCTGTAAGTTGATAGATATAGCCGATAATATTCCTTTTAACTTCTCAACCACAGAGATGGAGAAAGACAGATAAAAGTAAGGCTAGTATTGTCGGAAAGCAGAGATTTGAAGGAAGTAGCACCTACCAAATTCCAACTCTTCCATAAATTTCTTAAGTGTTTGAGATATGGAAATTCATATATTACACTTAACTGTTCAGTGATTCTTAACCAGGAGTGGATCAGAATCTTGAGGAAACTTTGTTGCTGTTGTTAGAGACAGGGTCTTGCTATGTTGCCCAGGCTGGACTCAGGAACTCCTGGGCTCAAGTGATCTTCCCACCTCAGCCTCCCAGTTAGCTTGGACTATAAGCACATGCCACTGTGCCCGGCTTTGAGGAAATATTTTTAAATATACATGTCCAGACCTTATTAGATTTACTGAATCGAAATCTTCAGGCAGAGCCTAGACTTGTAAATTATTTTCTTTAGTCTCCCCAGGTCACTGTCTTGCACAATTCTAGCTGAGAACTAACGCAGCAGACGATCCCTTTAGTCTCATCTCTCACCCACATGGCCAATTCCTGTTATCATTTGGGGATTTGGCCAAAAAGAGGAAAGAGTAAGAGGTAGAGTCATTTACCGAAAATTCCATTTAATGTTCCTGGGTAGGGGGAGAACAGGGACTAGCAAACTCAAAATACAGCTTGGTTTTACCACTTGTGAGCTCCTAATCTCCAACCTTCCCATCAAGACATTCTAGCTTCTGAGAGTAGAGTTTAGGCTCTTATCCAAGTGGCTGTTTCTGCCACAATAGGATAATCAGTCAGTGAATTGTTTGTTCTTCCCTCTTCTTGCCCACTTCATCACCACCTACTCACCCCCAATCTGCTTTCCTCAGAGTCCTCCTACAACTGATGCCTGGGCAGGATGACCACTCACTAACACTCTGCACCTACAATTATCATCCCCACAACTGAAGAGCTCCTGGTCTAAACATAAAAACTAGGGGGGGGGAAACATGCAAAAACCTCTTCTTGTTATTTTCCCTGACTTACATAATTTTAAAATTGGCCTGCGTATTTCTGGTAGCTCCCCTTTTCCCTTTCCATTTTTCCCTCTTTAGCCTTGCCACTGACAGGTAAATCATGTTCATAGAAATTACTTTTTTTAGGAACTTCTCAACAAGATTTCCATTTCTGTCAAATGCATTTCTTTTGTTCGAGTTTTATGATAGAGCCCATTTCCAGGGTAAATTTGCTTTGTCATGTTGTTTTACACGAATTAGAAAACCAAAAAAAAAATATATATATATTGGGTGGGAAAAGAATTTGAAAAAAAATTTTTACCTTTAGTGTTATCACAAATATTTACCATAAATGCATAAAAGAAGCTATACCCTCTAACACTTTAACAGTATCAATATTTCAAGTAAAACCTTAGATAATTAAGTTATTTCAAAATATTTTCATTCAGGGAATGCTTGAACTTCCAAATATGGAAAATTGACCCTCACATATGTCAATGTCAAAACAAACGCATTTCCAATATTTTGAAAGTAAAGTTGGTTGATGTATACCTGATCTGTTGTGTCGAGAGTGGCACCGTGAGCACGTAGTTTTGCTGCTATTGATAAGTCTCCGTTATAGGCAGCATAGTGGAGAGCAGTGTTGCCGTACACGTCCACAGCATTGGGATCAGCACCACGTTCTAACAGCGTAATCACACATCTCTGTGCCTGGCGTTGTACGGCCTGTCAGTAGCAGACCAAGAAACAGACTGTAAATTCTAGGAATTCAATGTAAACATTTCACGCGTTTCACTTATTAGTTATATTTAAATGCGATAAATTCATTCTTATTCTATGGGTTTAAAGAAAACCCATGTCATGCTGAAATAGTCGGCAGCTATATACCTTCATCAGCGGTGTCCTGTTTTCACTGTCACAGGGGTTAAGGTCACATTTCTTGTCCAGCAGGAGAGTCACCACCTGCACATCTCTGTTGGCGCAGGCCAAATGGAGAGCAGTCCTATGAAGGTGAGAGGACTTTTTAGAAAATTGTAGTGCACTATCTCAAAACATATTCATGTAATTGTAAACATTAAATCTCATGGTACTCCATCTGTTTTCAAAACAAATCTTTAATTTTCTTGTGAAGATAGGACAATATTTATTAGCTCTTAGTACTCACTGCATTAATGAAAGAGCAGCCTATTGGAAAACAAAGACATTGACCTTTGGATTCAGTTCAACTTGGGTTTGAATCCTCCTTTAAGCTGTCACTTACTAGCTGTACCTCAGCTTTTCTGTGCCTCAATTTTCTTGCCAATAAAATGGAAATGAGAATAGTAGGGACACCTCACAGGATACCGCTGTGATGCTTACGTGAGAATCTATGCTAAGTGTTTTGAAGAGTTCCTAGTACAAATAACAGCTCAATAATTGTTAAGATATTATAATGATTACTATGACTACTACCTAACAAAGGTGACATTTTGATTAAGTAAAATGATACAATAATATCTACTTTGTGGTAAATTTTAAAGATGAGAGATACAACTGTATTTCCATGATTCTAAAATGCTCATTTTTTCACATTTTAACACCTCTGACATTGGAATGCCACTTGTAATTCATGATTTATTATAACTATAATTGGCAGCATTTTTAAAAATTATCTTATTGATACATAAGATAATGGGGCATCACACAATCCATGATGACTTACATTCAGTGAAATTTGGTATGTACAACAGGTCTCTGGCAGTTCTTTTCATATGATTGGCATTTAAAGAAATGTTAATTTTTTAAAGTACTATGAAAAAAGAGGGCTGAAATAACAACAACGATGCATTTTTAAACAAAGTTAATTCTTACTTTGATTTTCAAAGAACTTTAAATCAAAGGAAATGCAGGACTCAAATGAATAATTATGGCCCATTTTAGTCAGTATTTAGATTTATAGAATATATGTAAATCAGATATTTCCAATGACTAATATTAGTATTTAAGACTGTTAGAAAATTTCGAAAGGGCACTTAAAGGTTTCCTTTCATAATTTTCTACCTTCGGAAATGCTTTC